TTGAATGCTTATAAAAAAATGTTGACTATGAATTTCTGTTAATTTTCAACTGCTATTGTAACAATATGTTAGGCGCTTTGTATTAAATTTTCAAGCTTTTCTGTCCAACAAATAAATTTTTATCGATATTAATTTCAAAAAACTAATAATGGTCGATTTTCAAAGTACCAACTAAATTCACTTTCTGATTGAACGAGATACTGAAGTCGAAAATCGAAGCACTTTTATTGTCCCAAAACGTGATGACAGACACAAAAAAAATAAAAATAAAACACACATAATGGTAAAATCAATTCATTCCTCGATCCGCTTAGAATCAAAAATTTACTCTAAATTATAAATAATTTACATGTCTTGATAAGACACGATGCGACTACTTCTACAAAAGCAGATTGTTTGCACAAAATTTGTATTTTGTCTGATTGTTGTTCACTGAAGTCAAATACAAGTGAATAGTGATAGGTTGTGCCTATTAGGTACACGATACATGATAAAGTGTTAACATCCTCTTTTGAAATTTTGGCTTCTTTAGTAAACACAGATAATATTGTTGATGATTTACTTTTATTTTATGTTCTGTACGAACAAGCAAGTTATCGACATTTTAATAATTTTTTTATTAACCACGCAAAAATTCATAAATTGAGTGTTTAACTCATAAATTTAATTATGTATATTACGATAAAATTCAATTCATGGTCCATTTCATTAGATTCACTTTAATATTTTTCAACTCATTGTAAATATTTTTCACTATATCTATTTGTTTTTTTTAATTAATTTTTAGATTTTTTTAAGATAATTAACTTAACTCAAATCTGTTCTAAATGTTGGTCTTAAAAAAGTACCTTACCAAAAAATATCAATTAAACGTACAATTACATGAGGAAAAAAATAACCTAGGATAAAATTAAAAAGACAATTACTAATAATTATATCATTAGTTAAACGATTATGTCATACTAAATAATTGTTTTGAAAGCATGTGAAAAACACCTGAAACACCTGTCACCGTGTATTTTGACAATAGCTAAATTCTACATGCTTTGCAATAATGAATAATTTGTTTAWTAAATATAGGTCATAGACACAGTCACATAGTTATAAAACTTTGGTTTTACATGACATATTTAACAATGTTAAACTAAATTTTACAATCCTTGTCAAGTGTCTGCAACTAGGAAATAGTCTTAACATCCCCCTAAAATACATGTAAATTTCATTCTATCTTTCTATCATAACGTTTTATACTTAAGTATACTTTAAGTTTAGTTTATACTTAAAGTGCATACTATGTTCAACTGTTTATCTTATGTAGGCATGTAAAAATTATAATAATAAAAAAAGATTGTATGTGTTAAAGTGACCAGATATATTTTTATAGCAATAAATTAATTACTGGCATTTTGTGATTAATACTTTATAGTAACAATGGATAAACAACTCATTTTTTTTTTTTATATATAAATGCTACAATCTCATTCTGTATATACATAGTATATATCAACATTATTGATGTTTATTACAATCATAAACCTGTTAACAAATTACGAAGACGCGAGTATCAGCTGAAGCGTTCCATCTGTTGATATAGGTATATGATTACAATCATATTTCCGATCTGCTTTAAGTTTTCTTAAACATTGTTATTATTAAACAGTAATTTCATATGACATTTTATTGCACATCAATCTAACAAACTTACAAAAACAGCTAATTATTAATAAATATTTATTGTTTGACTGGGAGAGGAGAGTAAAATTGATGTTGATGGTGCCAGCATAAAAATTTATGTTGTACATAGCGCATTTTCAATAGTAAAAACATCAATATTCAATAATCATTTTGCCATATCATATGCATTTCATCACATAAGTCGAACCATAATTTATATGAATATATTTTTATCAATATCAATAGATACCTAGTTAAAAAATAAAAATAAACAATTGTGTGAATTCTGATAAATGAATTGTGTGTTTAACGAACAATTAAACTGAAAAATTATTGAAATTCATAGTTCAATTATTATTACTTTTGATTGTAGTATAATTTAAGTTATTAGTTCATATTTCACCTATTGAGTAACTTTGAAGTCGAGATATATAACTTTGATATTTATAAACACTCAATTATTAATGCTCAGATATAACTTTTATATTACACATTAATTATATTAAAAATGTCAGAGGCAACATAATATAAAATAAATTATAATGTATGAAAAAGTGATTGAAATTGCAACCAAAATCAAAACATTTTACAGATCTAAACATATTTTTAATTCCACATTTTGTACATTTTATGGGTTAAAATGTTAAAATTATTTTTAAATGTATGTATCAATAAAAATCGCATGATGAAAATAAAAAAATTATAAAAAATATACTTCAGAAAACTGCAATAAATAAAATGTGATAAATTACTTAAAAATAAATAATTTACTTAATATTAAAAATTAAAAGATTATCATTCCTGTCGAAACACATTACACAGACATAATAAATAATAATAAGTGACTACTAAATCACATTTTTAATTATTTACAGTTGTTATTATGAAACCATTGAATTATATTATTTTAAATTATAAACTAACAAACTCAATGTTCATATAATAAAGTAGTTGATAAAGGATACCTATATCATCATTTTTACTCAAAGAAATTATTAAGCAAATTTGAATGAGTCACAACAAGTAAACAAATTATGAGTTGAATTAAATATTATGGAGTGCTCTCTTAATCATCATAAATAAAAAATTAATTATTTATTGTAGTACATAGAAAAATAAATTATACATTTTTAGTTTAAACGCAATAAGAAGCAACATTATTACATTTGTATTTCTATTTAAAAAAAAACGGTTGATTCACCATTTATTGAACAAAATAAATATTTTTATTTTAAAATTTAACTTAACGATAATATTATATTTCTTTAAAAATACAATTTATTCTCCGCGGTATGTGAACGCAGCATCGACGACGAATACAACTCCGTTGAGGATGGACAACCAAGCCTTTGTCAGACCAGTGTTGACGTAGGATGATTTCAATGCGAAACCATTGTAATAGTTGTACGACATAACCCCGGATGCAATGAATAGAGCAGCGCCAATCAACACGAAGAACATGTCCTAAAATATAATCACGATCATTAATAATAATGATTATTATGTATTATATTATTATAGTCACATATACCAGATTTCTCTCTCGCCTGACTTTCTAGGGGATAAAATATATTTCTAAATCGTGGTAAAGCAGATGGCGACACGGCTCAATTCCTATTTCACCGTTCATATTTTATAAGAAATGGGACTTGGGAGTTATTCGGCGTACTATTGATTTTTTAATAATATAGTATTATAGTACATTATAAAATCAATGATCGTGTAACTATATTACATTATATTATAGCCTATATTTTCTTTTGAGAAATTACTTATTTACGCATTTAAATCGAGTCAGTATTTAGTATTTACAAAGTTAATAATATACAAAAAAAGAATACCAGACGACTTGCTTAATGAAAAAAGAAATATTGTGTACAAACGTGTGGAACATATAAAACAAATTGACTATAAAATGTTCTAAATCACACTTAACAAAATATAACAAAACAAAGTACAACAGTATATAATATCTTACTATGTAAGGAACTTTAATTCTTTGATCTTTCTACAACTATCCCTTCATACGGCAGATGGTTATATCTATACAAGTAATGACTACTAATACTGAATCTATAAATGTCTAACCATCAGTTCTTTCTCACAAATGTATGCAAAAATATCAAATTAATTTGTCTCAACTTACCAGTCTAGAGCTTATCGGCGTTCCCGTGAAAAGTCCGATGAAAATTCCAGCCAAAATAATCACATAACCTACGTAAGTTCCGGTAGTGATCATGATCGATGTGATATCACCACCTGGGAAACTGTTGTAATGCAAGACGAAAATGATGATAGTTAAAGCCTGTGAAAATATAAGAGCCGTACAATTACTATTATTATTATAAATTATTAGACATGCGATGTTCGCATTAAATCTTCTGAATTCTAAGTGAATTTTTTTAATTAAAAGCCATGGACATAAAATAATGAATGATGGAAATTTAAAAAAACACTCAAGTAATGAAAATTTTATTAATACCTAGTTAGTATTCACATCGGATGATTCTTTTAACACTTTAATAGCAACCCATCATCATATTGAAAGTATTAAACTAATAACATTTTAAATCACGAGGGGATCGATGAATGTATTTTATTTTATTTTTATTTTATTTTAAATTAAACGGGCACAGGCCCAAATACATATAGTAATAATAATAACAATCGTTCTTCAGAATATTTATATTCAGATCAATATATACTGATTATATTTATATTACGTGTTTTTAATTTTTTTANATAAATATTATAATTTTACTAGGTGTTTTAAAATAATAACCTTTTTTACTATACTCGTATACAATATATTATATTTTATTATATAATAGCATACCTACATAGGTATAAGTAAAAGATAAAGGTAACTAATTCTCAAAAAGAAATTGTAATCGTCTCACATCTCTTCCGAAACGATCAACAATTTCTTCATAATATTTATTATTATTAATTAGATCAATTAAATCTAATCTTATGTTTTTATAATGGTATCCTACTATTTTTATAACCACTTTAAATTTGTTGTATAGTATAATATAGTAATTTATCTTAAAACATTCAATTAAAAATAATATTTTGAAAAAGCCCGGGGGGAGCAAATGCCCCAGCTTGCCCCCCCTTCGGGCGCTTATGGTAAAAATGCTTTGACATTTCTTAAGAATCAGGAAAACTCTAACCATGTGCTTAATGTTTGTATAAGTAATTTCTATATTATACGTGTATAATGTTCAAATTATTTGAATCTTTTTGAGCTCTTTATAGACATGTAAAATATTCGATTCTTTTTGGGTTTTATTTTCAATGACTCGATTAAGTTTACGATTTTAACTCTTTATCTTGGAAACATTATTATGTTAACACAAASATCAAGAGAAAGATTTAAATAGTACTTAAAATCCAACATCGCTAAGATTGATATTCATCCAAATTTATTTTATCTGTTTTTACTTCAAAAACACGTTCAGAATTAATAGAAAGCGAACCAAAAAAGTTATCATGGTTATTGTATTAATAAAAAGTTGATTATAAGATTTTTTTTTAATTTATTACTTGTAAAAATGTTAAGTTTATATGGTATATATATTTCTACTATAATAATTATACCTATTATAGTGATGGATCTGTAATTCTGTAACCAATGGCAACCATTTAAACAAACAAAAAAAGATTCATCCAAGTTTTAATAAACAAGATATGGGTCCATAAATCTATATGGATTAACTCATTAACAGTATACAAATACTGAAATAGGTACTAAACATTTGCATATTTTATAAGTTATATAAATTATTATGTCGGAAAAAACACAAAAAATAATGTAATTGTATAGCCGGATGAAAAATATAGCTATATATTATACAGTCAACTATTATGTAAAAAAAAAGTAGATTGTATGTAGGTAGATACTCGTTAATGTTTGAATTGAACAACACATTGTTTTTATTTGAACACATTTAAAAAATTAGTTTTAACTGAACATGGAGGGGAAACAATTTATTTAAAACATTTACTTATCTGTAATTTCACTCATAATATTATTTAAAACACTGCTACAGAATAAGAGCTTAAAATTATTTACTATACTGTCGATATATTATATTTAACGTATTAAATCTATTTTTATGTACAATTATAATAAAATACAAACATTAATTTAAAGTTATAATTTTTTTTTCAATTCAAAACAACGTTTGATGAACAAAAAAAGTAACTATTATTGTGTTTAATTTTTGTACTACTGTGCGAGAATTTAAAGATGTTTATTTAGATGTTTTAGTCGTAAAAATTATTAATGATAATTGATGATAGCCTATCTAAGTCTTCCCTGACGCGTCTCCAATTCTCCATACTAAAGTTAAATACGTAGAGAAATTATTTTCATTAAGAAACGATTCCAAAATGGTCGTCGAAAGTACATAAAATAATTCAGTGCGTTCACTGAAGCAATGGCGGTGTGTTTCTATTTCCATACATAGGCTTTTAGACGCGGATCCGGTGCAAGCATGGCAAAATAAGTATTTGTGTCAACGATAAAATGTCTTAAATGCGAGTAGAATAAACTAAGAAAATAAATAGAATAGTGTCAAGGATCCATCCGCAATTCAATTCATACCACGCAGCTTTCACAAAAAAAAAAAAAAAAAAAAACATAAATAAAAATACACGTACATATTGTGTCGGCGGCGATAATAATAATTATACTTCCAGCGGTACATATAGATAAGTACATAACATAAAAAAAAAACAATGTGCCGAAACTATTCAGGGTCATTGATATGTGTGTTTGAAAATTGATTCGTGTAAACCTATTTTGCATTTAATTTACAGAGTTTCGTAATCGAAACGATTATTATAACACTGGTTCACATAATCATAATATCATATTAACAGTGACGGGGCACAGTCCGGCACACGATAATTTACAAGCATTAGTCATTACTGTTTACTGAAATAGTAATATTAGTAATATTATATATATATATATAATAGGTAAATAGGAAGGTGTCTCATTTTTACATTCTTCGGATGAATCATTGTAAAGACGTGCCCTTGAATAAAATGAAACGATTCCTCGGAGAAAATATACATAATACATATTATATTATAATGCATACCCACGTTTTAAATTGTCTTTAGGCGTAATAATAGTGTATACTCTACAAGTATATTAAAATTAAAACGTGGTCCGAATCGCAATTTTATTATACCCTACAATTCAACACACGGAATTCTTATATGATGTTTTTTATTTTTTGAAATTTGTATTATCGTTGAGGTTATCATCGATCGGCAAGGACTTTCTGTAGGCGTTTTTCGACTAATTTGGAATACATTAAAATGTCAAAAAAAACCTCCCACTGCCTATGTGGAGGGGRGAGAAGATCACATTATATGAGTATTGCTGGGTCACACCATCAAGTCTTGCCGTATATGTACAAAGACAATCAGCTAAATTTTTTGATAAAATAGTTAATATTGTATAGTCAACAACTCCGTTGAGTTATCATTTTTAACTATAAAACTAATGCACACAATAATGTAATGTGAAATGGCTATAATAGTGAATGATAAAATTTTCTTCTTCTTCTTTGGTTTCGGCCATTCAAGACCATACCTCTAGATAAACATACTGCCACCTTTCTCTATCCTCTGCTAATTCCTGCCAATAACTGTTTCAGCGTCTCTCTTAACGCAATCCTCCCATCTTAAACGCGGTCTTCCAAGATGTCTCCTCCCTACTGGGTTTTCCTCTATTACTCTTCTTATTAATGAGTCATGCTTCCTCCAGCCATGTCCTGCCCAGGACAATAATTACTATTATTCCTAATTTTAATTTATGTTTGCTAACATTTTGAACAAAAAAACACCCCGCCTACTTAACATTTCACAGTGAAATAATGAGGTTCTCATTTGAAGAAAAAAAATTTTTATCTTCATAGGATATTTCTCAAATGGCAAAATATCAATAAATGAAATAATAATAAATGCATAATCGAAAGTTGGACCTTATTAGTAGTGAGTAATTATGAATATTATTATAATAATTATGTATAATGGCTCATGTTCTGATAAAATTTACTATTACTTTAAACTACTAGTACTAATACTACTACTACCTATTAATTTAACTACTAAAACTACTACTACTACTACTACTACTACTACTACTACTATTAATTTCAATTAACTATTTTTTACAACATCTTTCATAATAGTTTGAAAACTAAAAGATTTTGCACATATATTTTCTTGGTGGATAATGCAGTGATATTGCTTCAGTTGTAAATCACAACATGTACTCGTTTCTTTTTATAATTAGCGCTACGAGCCCTTCATTTTTTCCAACCATTGATAGGATTCCGACTGTTATAACTCCAGGAAGATTATTTAATTTGATGTCAAAATGGTTAAGTGTCGTTTTTAATGCATTTTAAATATCATAACTTTTTGCTGTGTCTTTCATGAAAAAAACGCGGCTAATTCTTCTGTGATATTAAAATTAGAATCGATACCCCAAACAAAAATTAATAATTGATCAGTATCTGATAACTCTGTATTTTCGTCAAGGGCCAGCAAATAAAGATTCTAAAGAGAAGAGTAGGGCAACACATAATGGTTGTACCACTCAACAAATCCAATATTATAATAATGAACTGACCGGATAAGACTGAACAGGAAACATCAATTATCAATATACAAACAGATAAATATATAGTTTCCAACAGACAACCACCAAACTGTCTAATAATTTCTTTAATTACTGGAGTTAAATAAATACTTTGTTTACCCGTCGGTTTGAAGTCTCGTAAGACCTATACCAATCAATTTAAAATTCAACCCAAATCCTGTTCTCTCACGAGCTTTCTTTGAGAAGTAATACTAATAACGAATGTTTATTTTTTGTGAAAGGTCATCCCCATCGAAACCGCAGTTCCACAATTGGCGCACTGTCGGAATAAATAAAAAACGTAAGCCTTCATTTACCGGATTCATCAATTTCAATAAAAAAAATGTTCAACTAATCAGGCTTTAAAGACCAGATCACTTTTCAAGCTATAAGTAAAATATGTATACACTATACATGTAGTCCCACGCAGTGGCTTGAATGGACATCATAAATAATGTGATATACGAGCGTCATTAGCGCAAACCATTCACTGTAGACTTAAGTCACTACATAGCACGCTACAGCTTGTTCTTAATCACTTGACACTAACGTGATAATTGTTATTGTGTTAGTATTATGGCGACACGGTCCAGAATAATCATAATACATATTTTTCCGAATCCTAGAAAAATCATCTAACCGTACAAATTATTTGTCCATTTTCCTTTTATTATTATCAATATGATTATTGATTATTATTGATACAGCATGTCGGTATATTATATTTAAAATATTATATAGCCTCAGCGTATAAAAACCGAACGCGAAATTATTTTAACTAGATATCTAGTTATTATATTAGTCACATCATCACTCATGATTATTATTAATTTCCTTTCTGCTGTTATGCTTTAACGCGTTCGTATTTTCCTCCACCACAACAAAGTCAGTGTATATGAAATTTTTTTTTTATTATGATCATTCACATTCGTTATTAACACCTCACCGTTTCTAAACAAAAATATAAAATCCATATATTCCGTTCCAAATGGGTCTCGGAATGTGGAAGAGTGCTATAAATTTAACGCCCTGCTTGACCAGCGTTACCGCTGTGAAGTTGAAAGGTTAATCTTTTGTCGTTAGGCGTACAGATCAGTAAAGTACGGTGAATTAGAAGATTATATACAGAACATAATAAATAGATATATCGTAGGTATATATAAAGTATTATTACTCTCTACATGGAATTATTAAATACTATAACATACCATCATACCTATACAGTATACATAGGTCTAAAAATAAAAATAAATACAATAAAATCTTAATTATAGCCCCACGCAATTTTCATTTAACTACCACTCACTACTAAGTACTAGTACAACACGCGTGTCTTCTGGTGTAATTTCAATAATACGTGTCTACCAATTAACGTCACTTTTATTATACATAGTTATTATTTAAACACAATACTATGTTATGCTGGCTACAATTGGCCAAGCAAAACTGTTTTTACGATCTTGTTGATTTCATATTTTCATATACACAATATTCGTAGATGACGATTTTTGATATCTCTAAAAGGAATTAAGAAGGACGACTCGCTATTTAGAATTTAGAATTTAGAAAGTAACAACGCGGGGTCGACGGATTTGAATAGGTTAAAACGTTTTCGGATAGGTATATACCAGGTATCGTAGTTACGTGTTTACAAAACATCATAAAAACCATCATTTCGCTATAAAAAATAAATTACCATTGACCTGAACGCGTTTCAATTATAATCATACATAATATTAGTTATTACAGGTACAATACACATAGATACTTGCAATTTGACAGGTTTAAAAAAGTAGGTAAGTGTACCTACTTTCTTCGAACAAATAATACAATTTTCGACCATTGATCACACTTACTAGTGCAGTCAGTATACATTATATATTATCACCGTGCCACCGGTACTAAATAATACCTTTGTGGCCATAACAAAAAAAAATAACGTAATAACAGCACCTAATAGACAATATTAATGGAACGTGTGCATGCTATTCAAACGGTGTTAAAAACGCAGCGGGCCTATAATAAAAATCAATTATTTAAAAAAAAATTTAAAAAATACTAAATCGTATTTACGATATATGTTTAAAAAGCTGCTGCTTATTATATGTTACAACACTCTAAGTAATAAGTAGTAGGTATACGGTAAAATTCATTATAATATAATTTATGAACATGTGTATTGTGTATGGTTTATACTCACGAGTTCCAAAAATTTAATCATAGTAATTTTCGTGATTGCCATTTTGATGATTTGGTGGAGTCTTGTTTTTTAATTTTATTTTTATTCTAAGCAACTGAAAACAAAAAAAAATGTTGACAAATAATTAATATATTAGATAGTTAAATAAAAATATAATAACATATTTTGGTAGGTTTCAGAGTAATAAGGCCACGTTCATGTAGGTAGGCAACTTTGGCTATGATGTGCCACAAATATGGGAGTGGTAGCCGTGACCTTCGTGCAGCACAGATTAGATCATTGTTATTAAAATTAATATTAATAACAATAATGATGAAGAAAACCGTAAATTAATTTATGGAATGCCCAATCCCAAATTTTATATTTTATTCTGAAGGAGTAAATTTTTGTTTTGATGATTCTAAATAACAATTAATATCTTTTTAACTCCCTATTGGCATCAAAGAAAGGAAATTAATAATACTTTTGTTCAGCATTTGGGTCATCGCGACTCCCGAGTGAAGGACAACCAGGTGCGGTTGCTTCCATCTTGAGGCTATACTCCTATATTGTGATAAATCATAATATTTACCATGTAGGTACCGACCGATTTGTTATTATTTTTACAACGCAACAACTGTTTTTTCACGGGCATTACATCATCGTTGTAAAGGTGATATTTTATAGCCAACTACTAAAATAATTTCATATATAAATAGTATTAGGTAGGTACATAATAAGAAAAAAGACATGAATTCAACTATTTAACAATTTTGTCGATTATATTAAAAAATACTTTAATCTAAGAAAACACTATTTGTTTAATTGACCTAATTTCCTGGACGACGTTAGATAAAAAAATATCTGAATGTATTGTACACTAAATTATTCTTCGTATTTACCTAATAAAAATATCATAATAAACACATTTAACGATTAAAGTTGATTTTTAATATTTTTATGACAAACTATACAATGTATATAATTAGTTTATTATGTACGTATTTAATTATAGTCTGGAAATCATTAAATAAAAACTGTGTTATATATTTATTTATATTTAAATTTACGAATTTAGTTGGTACTTAAATGAATATTAATATATTATGTAGATTGTAGGTCAATTTAAATGGCTGATCTTAGCTAGAACGCATTTTTGTGTAGGCATGTAATCTTCTATGATTGTACAACATCCTTTTTTAGTATTTAATACATAATAATACCATTATAGTATAACATTTTATTTTGAAACAAAAATAAGAATAATGGAATAAACAAAATATGTGCCGGAAAATATACACATGTTATAATATTATAACCATCTAAATAGTAGGTAAAGTTATTACAAAGTATAAAACTTATTTTAGAATAACAAGATAATATAAGAAAAATATAAAAGAAAATAATAGAATTAGTAGTCATTGTTTAAAAATTGTATACATAGTTCAAATATTTTATTAGTGTTTTATTTTATATTATTTTGTTTAAACAGTGGGTAAATTTTCCAATTATTATATTTTAGCCCACAAATATATTAGTAATAATAACGAATTTAACTTAATAAAAGAACATTAAAATAATATTTTTTTTAAAAACATTCCAACATTTGAACTAGTAACATAAAATATTCAAAGTTAAAGTTATTTTTTACATGAACTGAATCATTTTAATTTTGAAAGTTGAAGTAAACTATAAAAGTAAGTAATATTGGTAATGATTAACGTTTTGAGAAATGTAGGATTTTATAAATAATTTGAATTTAACTTTGCACTTGTAAATGTATACCTACATGGCTATATTAATGTTTATAATGCTTAAAAATGTGTATGGTTATCATTAGATGGATAAAAATACAAACCATGTTATAAATAAACAATGTCTATGAAGATTTATTAATTATTATTCACTTGAAAGTTGAAATAAAAAATCGTTTGGAAAATAAATAAATAAATTTTTTATGTACCCATATGGTTAAATATTATTATTATTATTATTAAAAAATATCMCTTGGCCTGTCGCAATAACCATGAAAAAATTATTGAAGTCGTTAATTAATATCTGATTTCGATAAAAATATTTTTTATTTTGTAAACAAATAAACCGGTTACTAAAGGGTCATGGGTTCGCATAGTTTAAAATTTAAATCATAAAAATTCCCGCATTAGGTTTGGATTCATTTGACTACATTATATTCTATTTACTTTGCTATACATAATTATTATTTATACATATTTTAAAGTATGCAGAATTTATAAAGTTATCTTCTCACAATTTATAAATTTCTTAAAACGGCATTCGGCGAAATGATAGCCGTATATGTAACAACATAACGTATTAACGGAAATAAAAATATTTTATATTTAAAATAAATTAATTCCTACATATTTGTATAAATTTTAATTTTAATGGATTAACGACATAAATGTACCAATTATATTTTCAACAAAATATTGCTTAAGAGGATGTCAGCGCACTATTTGTTTTCTCTCTCTGATCCACGCGTAACATAGACAAACCGCATTTACGAAGAATCATTTTTTCTGTGTCTTTAAGTAATTTTAGAGTAAAACCTTCCATTACAAAAAAGATAAAGAATAATATTTTTGAGGGAATGACATATCGATTTTATATTTATTGATATTTGACTTTGTATTCGACTTTCAAAATAAACAAAAAAATACTGTACATTTAGATTATTTAGAAACAATATTTAAACAAATCGATATGTCATTCCCTCATAAATATTATTCTCTATTTTTTTGTAATGGGAATTTTTACTCTAAATTATTTCAAGACATAGAAAAAATGATTCTGCGTATATGCGTTTTGTCTATGTTACGAGTGAGCCAGAAAGAGAAAACAAATAGTGCGCTGACATCCTCTTAATATTTAATAACTATAAAGTTTGAAAGTGACATGATTTAAGCGACTTCGGTATTATAGAATAAAATAATATTCAGAAATTATGAAGGTGCAGTTATGTCTTATGCAAGGCACGAGCTCGTCGTACATGTGTATATAATAAACGTCCATTATATACGCATGTGTATAAATAAGCAAACACTATATTATACTGCTTATTGCAAATTTCAATCGATATTTTAAGTGAAACAATATGAAACTTGTTAAATTCTACCGTTAAAATAGATTATATTAGAATACAAACAACTGTAGTAATTGCTAAAATTTAGCATTTTATCCAATACAAATCTATTATCATATTTTTTTATGACAGTTTGATATGATAGCCAATATAGGTATAATGGGTATATTTAGTTAATTTTAATACATAGGTCATAGATACACAAATACATTAACAGGAATAATTTATGATTAAACACGATTAGGTTAATTTACTCGCGTCTTCTAGTACTATATTTTAATGATCGTAATACTTGCTGAAATAATTATTGGTATTTAGTACCTACATAATAAACCATCTCTAATAGTGAGGTTTTACATAGGCTCTCAAAACTGTTAATAAGGTCAAACGAATGTTGAATTATTAGATACTAAAATATATTTAATAATGCATTAAAAATATGAGAATTTAAAAAAACTATTCGATAACTTCTAAATTCTACGAACATAAGAAATGGATAATAATAAAAACTATTAACCATTAAAGATAACGTGCAAAATAGAATACACATTTTTTTTACTATGTTTATAATATTTCTTTTATTTGTGTAAGCATAACATTTTTTTAAGTTAATAGTATCCAGAATATAAAGTAATAATACCTTAAGACGAATAGACAAAAATAGGAATACAATTATGTAACTTGGAATACTATTTAAAATGTTGTAAAACATATAATTACATTATTTAAGTGCTCTAGTCTCTAGTCCCAAAACGAATAGCCATAAAAAAAAAAAAACTCTACAGATTCTAAAACATGCAGGATATTTATATATTTTACTGAAAAAAATAATAGTAATAAAACTATATTTTTGTAAATCACGCTAGTTTAAAAAAAAAGCTCTGGCACACTCTTAAAATGAAGTTTATAGGTATGCTTGCAGTAAGTAAAAAATAAAAATACATCTCAAAATTACTCAAATTTATTATTACCAGTTAATAACATGCTAGTAGTTCTAAAACAACAATCAAATTTGCACTATAGGTACCTACCTATATAATATTATGATACTGTACTCAGTACCTTCGAAGAGTTAAATTTATACCCCTGAGACCCACAATAGGGCCACTAAACTGCTAATACGAAGAAGTCTACAATTTAAAGGACTGCGTTGTCGTGTTATTACACCTATTATAAGATGCAGACAATATGAAATAATAATTTGAACAGTAACACTAACGGGGGCGAATTCAAAACATTTCAACAGTGTTTAATTTCAATCATCATTATTTTTACGTGTACATGCAGTAATCCAGACAATGTATTTTTTTAATTTTCAAATCGAAATTTGGAAAATAAAACATAGCGAATCGAAATGATCTCATTACGCGATTGAATGTATACGAACACCACCATATAAATCGAGTAGATCACTTACGCAATATGACATTATTACGATTATTATAAATATTATTAAATATTAGTTGTGTATTTTGAATTTCGTTTGAAAAAAAAAATTGACTTACCGGTACAAACGTTGACGGGGAGAAGGTCTGCGTTAAAGTGTTGGACTGGCGACGACCGTCGGAGCTTATAATATGTTACTATGGTAGTGACAGTGAGGTTGCGTTATTGTTGACTGTTGTTATTGTTGTTGTTATTTTCGATGAGTGTGCGTGCGCCGCGCCGCTGGTAGCCGTTTGTACCAACTGCCATTGCTCTCTATCGGACGATCACGTTTGAATACGGCGTCCTTGGTGGGAGTAATTCCAAAACCGTGAGTGTCGTATTTTTAAGTCCATCATCATAAAATAATACGTCCAAAACTGAATTATAAATATTGTTATAAGCACTGCAGATTGTCCACGGTGATTAGGTGCTCCAATGGATATACGGATATACCTCATCTACAGTTTTCACAAGGTTTTTGATGCAATTACGTAAATTTCTGGGACACGGGACATAACTTAGGTCATCCCCTGACCCCTGTGTTCCAAAGAGACTGCTCACCTCCTCGGGTTGAAATATAGTGTTCGAATAATACAGTTTTTATTTTTTATAAAAAAAAACTTCTCATAAAAAATTGCATCGATTGCAAAATACTTGAAAATAAAATTATGCTACTTTTAATTATAATATACGTACCTATACGTAATGAAGCCGGGTTTAAAGTCACCTATGTCGTCCAGTCATTTGGCTCTAATCGTATTCTGATTGACCGTGGTATTTATGGTACGACTATGGTACGACTACGACTATGATTATCAGGAAATTTTCAGAGTTGGGTCGTGCTGTACTATTGGCCGCGGTCGACGACATACGTCATGGCCGAGAACCTGACTCAAACTGTGACATTCCTAAGTTCGAATAATACTAAACTATATAAAGTATAATCGTATAGGAACCCTATGGACATAATGTATCATACTTATAGTAACATACTATTATGTATTTAATATTTATTTCAATGTAGAGTGTTGACCGTAGTCAGTGATGGCACAAAATGTTTGATGCTTTGAAACGAATTATTGTATACTTTAAATGTTTTACCTTTATTCCACCAAAGTGAATAGCAAAGAGAGAGAGCTAATTCTAAGCTCCGTAATATCTATTAATTATATAATATAATTAGTTGTTGACTGTTTCAGAAATTTGGGTCTGTATAGTTTGTTCGGTTTTTAACGGTTTTGTTAATAATATGAATCCACTCTGGCACTCAGCCAAAATCTAACAATATCATTCTATTAGTAATGTTTTATTTTATTTACATTTATTTAATGTTTTATTTATTTCATTTTTCGTGTACTCTTATTACAATAATTTTTTGACTCCACTTGACTTTAAGTGTCGCCTAAAATTAATATTTCATACTCATTAATACTGAACCATAATAGTATTGTAAATCTCAAAATATTATTCAGTGTTAGTAGACAGCGACGGATTGGCTAAAAATGTCAACCCTGTAAATTATCGTGTGACAGGCCTACCCAATGGCCAATATAATACGTAATTATTAATAATTTATTAATTTTCCATGAAAACCTTCTTTTTTTTTAATAATAATTTTCTGGTTTATAATTTGGTATAATATACGTTTAACTTTTAAAATGTGAGTATATAACTTATTTTTATGACCACCCAAATTACTAACAAGATTCACTTTCTTCCAGAAAAGGTATGAAATAGAAAATCGAAGCATTTTAACTGCTTCAAAAAGTGATGGCACTATATAGTAGACATAAACAATTTTTTTTTATTACCTTAAAATCAATACATGTGTCGCTTCGCTCAGAGTATAAAATATTAAAACATAGTAATAAGAATGTTCACTAATAAATGAACTCTTGTAGTCTTGTGTACTACTTAGACTTAGTACAACCATAATGACTTCCAAAATCGTGATATGACTATAGTATACGACAACAATCAATGTAGTAATGTAGACACGTGGTTAAATATTATTAAATAATTTGTAATCCAAGTACATCGGCTCAGAGTTTTTATAATAGCATCGGTCTACTTTCTCAGTATCTCGGTGGACTAATCTGCCATGAAAATAGATACCTACTTGTATGTGTCGTAACGAATCCCGGAAAAAAACCATACAAAAAAAAAATACCAAAGGAAAAAACAAAATTTTTTTATGATCTTATCATATTCCCACAACTTCAACTATAAATCTTTACGAATTAAGAGTTTAACTTGTCAGACTTGTCTGATTAAATATTATATTATTGAGTAATTTTTAATTTTTGAAAGCAATAGTAAATCTACAGGGAATTTATTAAACTAAAATTTAGGCAATAGTAATTTAAACCAATTTTTACACATTGATCATAAGTCATAACTTTTATTCTATGACATCATTTACTTATTATGCTCATTTGTATTTTTCTCACTAAAAGTATGTATCATTTATATTTTTTTACATATATAATAATATAGGCAATATATCATAGACCATAGACCTTATGCTAGGTATATTTCTGAAACATGATTTATAAGAATACTAGCTGACCCGGCAATGCTTTGCTATTGCTAGATTTCAGTACATTTATATAATATGTTTAGGAATATGTGAAAAGTTTGATATGAATTATATCAGATATTTAATTTGATTAATTTGTTTAGTATAATTTTATATATACGTGTGGAATATATTTGTTTCGTTATGATGTATGATGTATGATTTTTATTTTTTTTGTTAATTATATCAATTTGTCTTAAGCATTAAATATTTCTGGATACACCACGTTAAGTGTCTCACCTTCTGGGGCCATCACWAATAGATTTTGTTTGCATGTGACACGTGACAGAGCTACGTACAATTGACCATGGGAAAAACACTGGACGGTTAAGTCTAAACCTGCAACGTTTAATGTTTGACCTTGTGCCTTATTAATAGTCATTTCAAAACTTAATTTCATGGGAAATTGGAGCCGTTTGAACTGGAATGGCAAATTGGTTGGTATCATTGGTATTCTAGGAACCAAGACCATTTCCCCACCTCCGCAGCCAGTAAGGATTAGGTATACACTCAAGCAGACAGTTTTTTAAAGACTTTATTTGTAATCTTGTACCGTTGCATAATTTAGGTGGACTTAAGTTACGAAGTAAAATTATAGGAGACCCTATTTTTAGAATTAATTTGTGTGGTGGGGTCCCTGAAGGTGATAAAGAATTTAAAAATTCAGTTGGATTATGTATCGCCTGCTCTGCATCTAAAACAGTGGAAATGGAATAGTAAACTTTTGTTGGTGCGTTGAATTTTAACAGTATCATGTCATTTATTTTATTGACTTGATCGTTAGTTGGTGACAATATTGCTCTTTCTTGAAACCGACTTGGCGTTTTAGTCGAATTATTAGGTAAATCTGGGTAAACATTTTCAATTAGGTCCATCAAATTAGACATCAAAAAACAAAGCTCAGACAGATCAATTTTACCATTTCTAGTCAGTGACTGACCATATACAAAGCATCAGCATCAGCAAATTTCTACAAACAAAACTAAGATAAGTTGAGTGAAAAGTGGGGAAAAAAAGTGTCTGATACCGTGGTTTGAACTCGAGTCGCTGTCTTTGAAATCTTATAAAAGTGCCACTGCGCAAGAGAAATCTGTGCACGGGGTGATAATTTTATGCTATTTATGTATATTCGGATGTATGGAACAAATATTTTTTTAATTTTTTAATTTTATTAATTAAGTTATACGAATAAATTGTATATTAAAACCTTCCCTGAATCTAGACCTATTGATTAGTGAAAACTGTACTAAAATCCGTTGGGTACTTTTTGAGTTATGCGCGTACATACAAAAAAGGGGGTTCTATTTTATATAGTAGTATAGAAGTATAGATAAAACTATAATATATTATAATTACTAATTCTTTCATATTATACAACCTATTTAGTAGCTATACTAGCTATATATAAATTGGAAAAATAAATAAATATCTTTATAATAAATTGGACAAAAAAATAATATATAATTGTATTATATTTAAATGTAGGCATATAWTGAATTTATAACATTTATAATATTGATAATATAAAATATATTATATTATATTTTGTTGTATAATAATATAATTCTCCGAGTATTATATTATTATTCTGTTTTTTTCTTAGTTTTCCTTTGGTATACCGTCGACACGCGTTAATCTTGACGCCGAACATACTAGAGTTTTGACTGAATTTTAGGGCGGGCTTAAATCTTTATTTACAAATAAAAATTGGGGCTTCGAAGGATGTTCAATAATTTTAGGGGCAAGCCCCTCATCAAGCACCTACCAATATCCACCTATGGTTGTCTCGAACGTTTGTTATTATGAGTTGTCGAAAACAACAGCTAATTAAACGCCTTTTATTTTATTGTGTATGATATAAATATATAATAATCGATATTTCCTTTTTAGTACTAAGACATTCGTTAACTTGGTGAACMGGTTCAAGAAAAGCTTTAGCCCGCTGCAGTCATAATTCTAGGCCATAGGTTGGAAAGTAGACTGTAAATTAGTATTAGTTAGTTTTAACATTTAAGTATAATATATTTTGGTAGGTATCTACTACCTTTCTAGCATAAATTATATATTGCATAATTTGTTAGTGATTTAATTGGATATATTATATTTGTTTGTTACCTACTTTACTAGAAACAGTAGAAACCTATAAGATTAAATTAGTTTGCTTATGTAGTTCGGTATTGGTACTTAGATAAGTACCTACCGAAAACAAAGGTTAAGTCAGAATTTTTCAGTTTTAAAGTTATATTAATACCATTTATTATATAAACAATAAATAATCATAATACATTTATAATCAATAAAACAACATACTTGGAGTTTGTCATTTTTACTACACTGCTAATAATAGTTATCTTTACTTTTATCGTAAACTAATAATGACGAAACTTAAACGATTGCTAATCAATGTTCATGTTTGTTTAAGGACTTAAGGTACAAAGTTCAAAAATTACACTATTTGACGAATTGACTTATTTTCGTTTTTTTCATATTATATTATTATAATACCCTTAGTAGGTCGTATTATGTAAACAAAATTTTAACTTTCAGCCATGGACGTCCCAAATATTTTCTTAAGGAAGGGCAAAATTAATTTCAAAAAAATAAATGAAGATTTTTTATACATTTTAAAAGTAATCTATGTTTACAAA